TACAAGGCACTGAGCCACAGTTTTTATTTTTTGAGACAGAGTCTTGCTCAATCATCCAGGCTAGGGTACAATGGTGTGATTATAGATCACTGCAACTTCAAACTCCCAGGCTTAAGTGATTCCTCCTGCCTCAGGCTCTTGAGTAGCTGGCACTATGGGTGCATGTCACCACACCTGGCTAATCTTTTCTATTTTTAGTAGAGAGGTGGTTTTGCTCTTGCTCAGGTTGGGCTTGAACTCCTAACCTCAAGTGATCCTCTCACCTCAGCCTCCCACAGTGCTATGATTACAGGCATCTGCCAACACATCTGGCCACTGATCTGGTCTTCTATCTAGAAAACCCAAAGATTCCTCCAAAAGACTTCTAGGATTGATAAATAAATTCACCAAATCTCAGGTTACAAAATTAACGTATACAAATCAGTAGCATTTCTATACACCAACAACAGCCAGGCCAACAATCAAATTAAGAACTAAATGTCATTTACAATAGCTGCAAAGAAAATACTTAGGAATGTACTTTAACCAAGGAGGTGAAAGATCTCTACAAAACATTGATGAAAGAAATCCTTGATGATACAAAAGTGGAAAAACTTCCCATGCTCATGAATTTGAAGACCAAGATTGTTAAAATGTCCATACTACCCAAAATGGTTTATAGATAATGCATTTCCCATGAAAATGGCAATGTTATTTTTCACAGAATTAGGAAAAAAATTCCAAATTTCATATGGAATCAGAAAGGAGCCCAAACAACCAAAGCAATTCTAAGCAAATGGAAGAAATCTGAAGCATCACATTACTCAACTTCAAATTATACTACAAGGCTATAGTAACCAAAACAGCATGGTACTGGTATAAAAGTAGACATATAGATCAATGGAACAGAATAGAGAACCCAGAAATTAAACCATATACCTACAACCAACTGATCTTCAACAAAGCTGACAAAAACATGTAGTGGGGAAAGGATTCCTTTTTCAATAAATATGCTGGGAAAACTGGTGAGCCACATGCATTAAGAATGAAACTGAATCCTTATCTCTCACTATACACAAAAATTAACTCAAGATGGATTAAAGTCTTAAATGTAATACCTAAAACAATAAAAATTCTAGAGGAAAACTTAGGAAAAAATTTTCTAGACATTGGCCTAGGCAAAGAATTTATGACTAAGCCCCCCCCCACCAAAATGCAATGAAAAAAAAAATGGGACTTAAGAAGTTTCTGTACAGCAAAAGAAATAGTTAATACAGTAAACAGACAAACTATGGGAGAAATATTCACAAACTATCCATTCAGTAAAGAACTAATATCAAACTCTGCAAGGAACTAAAATAAATCAGTAGGAAAAAAAAATCTCATTAAAAAGCAGAGCAAAAGACACGAATAGATATTTTTCAAAAAAACAAACATGCTACCAGACTTTAGAATATACTATAAATCTATAGTGGTCAAAACAGCATGGTACTGGCACAAAAATAGAACGGTAGATGTATGGAATAGAATTGAGAACCAAGAGATGAACCCAGGCACTTACCGTTGATCTTTGATAAGCCTATCAAAAACTTAAATTGGGGGAAAGACTCCCTATTTAACAAATGGTGCTGGGTGAATTGGCTGGCAACTTGTAGAAGACTGAAACTGGACCCACACCTTTTA